CCGAAAGGCATTCAAATAGATGTGATCTTCTATACCATTACTTTTTATGGCAGAACTTCTTTGAATCTAATTTAAGCAAACCTTAAACTAACAAAAAATTGTTTACTTTTTCATGCCAATCATATCAGACTAACTTTGAGTGTAATATAGCTATTATACAGTATTAATATATCCGATGCTATCAATGATTTCATTCATTAAAGAAATATTTATCGATTCCTCACTCCCTATGAAAGACTTTGAATTCAATAAAAGTTTAATAAAGTATTAAACCAATATTTTTAAAGTATTAAATTTTTAGAAGTTAGATGCTGTAAATATCAATCTAATAATTTAATAGGACTCCATAGTTAGAAATTTAACATCAAGAATATTGATAAATTAAATTTGATCAATATTTTGAATTGTTCCGGTGTCATTGACAAAATTAGGAATAAACACCGGTACTCATACACAATATTGGTTGCCTTAATAAGTTGCTAGACTCAATATTCAGTTTGCAACTATAGTATACATTATTATGCTTAATGATTGAGGGTTCTTTTAATTATCGAGTCTTTCTATAAGTAATATTGTATTAAATGATTAATACTATATTTGATGTGTTTTTGTGATTAGAAAAAATATAATTGTTTTAGAAAATTGTTTTTTTGTGTATAAACATAAAGCGATTTATACAATAAGCGGAATATAATAGAAGTGAATAGCGGTTAGAAAAAGGTTTTATTATATATTCAAACAAAATTGTAGGCAATTATCATAATTAGTTGAAAACTTTCTCAAACTATTTCACAAACTAAATAATAATAATATGAATATTTGAATCATTTATAATTCAAGTTTTGGCAAAATTTGTCTACAAATTACATATTAATAGAATTCATGGATCGTTTCAATGACTGAAACATTATAATTGTATGAATCGTTTGTTAAGTTTTTCTCGTCTCTAACCATACAATGAAATCAACTTTTGAAACGATAAGAGATGAGACAAAACTTATCGTAAATTTAGAGTCAAAACTAATTTGTAGTAATCATAACTATATAATCGTTATAACGATAAATTAATCAATTATTAAATTATATAATTTATTTTAAAGTATAAATTACTTGACAAAAGTTATTCACATCTTTCCTGACATTAGGCATGAGTTTTGCAAAATTTATGTTAATTTCAATTCACTATTCGTTACACAAATAAATCGCAAATATTTTTATGCTTTACAACGAGNTAATTCAAAAACAATTTAATTAAATTTATGTTTTATTTGCAATATTTACACTACAATATTATATAAATTAGTATTAATACAAAAAATTTGACATTTCGCTTGATCTCCTTAAAATAATAGTTTCTAAATTGTTCTGGGTTATCCAAAACCTTTAAAGTTTGAATAATTATGCTACGCAAACATATTTATAAAATATTGTCGTATGTGTTATGTTTGATGGGATGTATGTATCAAACTAGTCTGTCCAATCGGGACCCGAAAATTCGGGAGTTGTCGGGAGTCCCGACTCCCGACGGGAGTAGGGAGGGAACGGGAGTGTTAAAATCAGGATCGGGAGTGACCGGGAGTCCCGATACATGTGATTCGGGAGTGAATACTCCCGATCACTCCCGACCACTCCCGATTCACTATTTTATGTATGCTTTGCTCATATCTTATAGATAAAATTTTCAAATCTATTAACTTTAAAATAAACAGTATCATTTAAATATTAGGTTAAGCCGTACATTCAAACCAAAGTATTGAAAATGAGTTTAAAAAACAAAAAAATAGATTTTATTTTAGCGTTTTGTTAGCTGTCGGGAGTATTCGGGATTAGGCGGGTCCCGTCGGGAGTTGTCGGGAGTCCCGATCAGCTTTAGGACGGGAGTCGGGAGGGAACGGGAGTCATAAAAATTTGTCGGGAGGGATCGGGAGTATGGCTTAGCCTCAATTGGACAGACTAGTGTACAGTACAGTATTGCTATGATATATAATTTTAATGTTAACAAATATATTATACTGTACGTCGATTCAGTGAATAAGCATTCATATAGTGAAATACGGTATAAAACTAAATGAACTTCAAATAAAAATATCACAACAAAATACTTATAATATTCGCCAAAAAAATTAAATAAATTTTTAAAATGTCCTAAAAATTTGTACAGCAATTGAATGGTTCGCATCGTTTATCTGTTGTTTTATCAAAATTTCCTTTTTTGCAAAATTCACTCAATTCTGGTGTTAACAGAATCAGTGATTTTTGGGTGCAATTTGTATTTATAAATCTATGTCATTATGTCATGAAAATCCAAATTTGCTTTCTTTTCAGTTTGTGTGCGATTTGTCTAAACTATTAAATAGAAATGATTTTTCTCTCGAATCGACTTTTGGTCGACAAATGGTTTGAACTAATATTCGCTGAATCTGTGAAACAAACAAAACAGTTATTTAACATTTGCTAAATAAATAACATTTGCTTCAAAACGGGTTTGAATTTTTGAATCTTTTTTGACAATTTAAGAAAAATGTTTTTATATATACCGGCGATAATGTGATTATGTATGTGACGGGCCGGGAGTGTGCAGAGCTTAGCACCGGCACAGCTCTTCAGTTTGTTTAGCTGTCGTCTCAGGTCCTCCAAAGTAGTCAACTCGAGGTCGTATATGGAGTTCCTTAGCTATACGTGCCGTACAATACACACAAACAGACAAATATAGTATAAGTCATATATAATGAGACAATTTTCATTTTATAATAAAATTATAACGAATAGAGATATTTGAGTCAAATTTGATGGACATGTAAATAGAATAGTATTGAATCATTTCCTGTGTCTAATTGGTTGATACGGCCCATTGGTTCCGATATCTTTAAGAACTCTTCGGATATCTGCCATCAGATCTGTGCACTCCTTTCTGCGACAGAAAAGCTACATTTCCTCCAGATTCTTGTGAATTGTTTGGTTGTTTTAGATATGATCGATGTCTTAGAGTAAGCTTTTTTACAAATAGCCCAAAACTTTTCAATAAGACTGGTCTGTGGACAGTTAGGTGGGTTACAGTCTTTGGATACAAATGCAATGTTATTGCTGTTTAAGGCTATAATTCGCAAAATTCTTATAGAAATGCACAACTCTTTCTGCGATGATTTGTCTTTTAGACAAATTCATTGCCATATAATTGATAATTAAGACTTAAATTGGGATCAATTCTTGAAGTTCAATAAAAAAGCTGTAAATTGAACCGAATTCCGGTAACAATTGCGCGGTATATACGGCGCGAGACGACCCCCAAAATCGTCTCATTATATATGACTTATACTTTAGATAGCAAATGAGACATTCGTTGCATTATATCATTAATTATATGAACAGAATAGAGGAGAGAATTGCATGAATTGAATCCAAATATTGTATATAATATATATATATATTATATTATGGTATATATATATATATTATATGCCAAATGATGCGTTCAATACACATGTGATTCAATAATCAATACTCTCTTATTTGTTAGACTATTACCCAGTACAATATAATGTATGATTATACTGCACTGTATTATTGTATTAAGGAGTATGTAAGCCATACCTGATAGGGATCTCTTAATAGATTATAATAAGTAATAAAACCGGTGACGAACTCGCAGTACAGAAAATTATGAGTTG